CATGCAGCAATCATAAAAGCCGTTTGATATGAACCTGTTGTATCATTAATCCGACCTGGAAATAGAAATTTTCACAAAAATCAAAACAAAAAGTGATCTATAAATTTGAATTTAAAATACTTAACAGTCACACTATTTTAGTTGGGTTTAGGTAGTCATTAGTATACCTAGGCAAATTGGTAATTACTACTATAAGTTGTCAGGTAACACCTCTAAATTTGGAAATTATAGTTATGCTTGCATGGACATCTGTTCAATGATTGTAAAATATCATGAAGTCTACTGTCAAATAAAATACGGACCATATCCACGAGTTAATTCACTAAAATCGTAGGCGATAGGATCGTAAAAACACTAGAACTCTCTTAAATTAATTTTAAACTCCCGCATAAAAAACAGTTATAAGAACAGATACCGGCGTGAACTATTTTCGATTATTATTTTTTTTTGCCTAAGTGGTCTAGTGGATAACGCTTTGGCGTTTGAAAATATGGGTACTGGGTTCGAGCCTCGGTGGGAACGTCATCACTCACTGAGATATGCAGATACATCCAGCTGACGAGTCCCAAATAGGACGAAATTCGCATCCTGGGTTCCACTGCTAGTCACCATCTACCATTTAAATATTTTCGATTACCAAATCGCATACTACTAACTGATTGATATGAGTAGTTGGATTCTGCTCACATCAGGTTGATGCTTTTGTGCATATTTAATTGATCGTCATTTGTAGTCTAAAGCAGATCACATATTGTTATCTGAATAATTTCTCTTCTTAGATGAAACTCTGGTAAAATTTCATCTCGTACTGTGTAAATTACAAATCAAAAATTAACTAGCAAACTCTTAATTTGTTTACAATTATGATAATTAATGTAAGTGTCATTAATACTCCATCACTGAGTGATATTTGAAACAAACTTCTCGACTACTGCGTTACATTTTGCTTATTAATAAAAACTCTCGTTTCTGTAAAATTTTATGCCAAGAGTTTGTGGAAACTATCACAATTATTTACCTTTCGAACACTGAATCCAAGAATACAATCTTATTGACAGATAATACATATAACTAACTATTTGGATTTGTGGAATTTTTAAACATAAACACATCTATAATTGTATATATTGTTGGATTTACATGTTCAAGTTGCTCCAAGTCAGTGAGTTTATGGTTGAGATATCATTTTAGTTAACTGTGCTGAACTATATTGCATGTTGTTGTATTGTATAGTTGTTGTCGCTTTTTGCCCTTTTTTCTGTGAACTGTTTCCTTTGTTAATGTTGTTCTCATTGTTTGTCCGTTATTTTCCGATTTTGAGGGGAGTAACCCAAAAAGTCGCTTCTCTCTAAACTTTAACTTAATGTAATCATTCCTTTCTCAGGCGTGAGGCTAGCAACCCCACCCTGTAAACAAAATTGCTAAAGAAACTTCAGTACGATGAACCTCTTTGCACCTAAAGAAAAAGTCTCTGTGGGGACATGGAACGTCCGAACTATGTACGAGACTGGGAAAGCTGCCCAGATCGCCAACGAGATGAAAAGATACGGAATCCAAGTACTGGGAATATGTGAAAGCAGATGGAATGGGAGTGGACTCACCAAATTGTCAACGGGTGAGTCAGTGATCTACTCCGGTCAAAAAAAAAAAAAAAAAAAAAAAAAAAAAAAAAAAACTATCATGATGTCACCAACGGAAACGAAAGCCCTGATGCAATGGGAGGCGATTTCGTCCAGGATAATGACCGCCAGATTCAACTCCAAAGGAAGGAAAGTGTCAATCATACAATGTTATGCACCCACAAACAACGCAGACCTCTGAAAGAAAGAAGAATTCTACAGGCAACTACAGGCAACAATGGACAATACTCCAGCTGGCGACATGAAAATACTAATGGGAGACATGAACGCCAAACTGGGACCAGACAATAGAGGAAGGGAACTCATCATGGGTAGAGAAGCTCTAGGAGAAATGAATGAAAACGGAGAACTCTTCGCCGACTTCTGCGCCTTCAACGAACTAGTGATTGGTGGCAGTGTATACAAGCACAAAGATATCCACAAGGCTACATGGGTGTCACCAGACGGGCAAACCAAAAACCAAATCGACTTCATCTCAATCTCAAGGAAGTGGAGGCGCAGCCTACTGGACACAAAAGCAAGAAGAGGAGCAGACGTTGGCTCAGACCACTATCTCGTACAAGGGACAATCCAAATCAAATTAAAAGCTTTCAGGGAAACAGGAGCTGCAGATAGACCACAAGCCAAGTTCAACACTCAAAAGCTGAAGGACCAGGCTACAAAGGACATCTTCATTGCAAGCATAAAGGACAAAGCCGAGACACAAATCAACACCAGCGAAAAGGTCAGCGTCGAAAAGCACTGGAACAACTTGAAAACGGTGTGGAGCCAAACCTGCATAGAAATTCTAGGCAGAAAAAAGAGACAGGACAAACAGTGGCTCACTACGGACACTTGGAAACTAATAGAAGAGAGAAGGACAGTGAAACAAAAGATTATCCAGTGCACTGACGAGCAACAAAAACAGGAGCTGAATGCAAGCTACAATACACTGAACAAAAGAGTGAAGAAGAGTGCCAGGGAAGACAAAAGAAAATATTATGAAACCATGGCAAACGAAGCAGAACAAGCTGCAGGCAAAGGAGACCTCGCCACACTCTACCAAACAACTAGGCACCTTTCGGGCAAACGTTCGACACAGATTAAGCCAATAAAGGACGACAATGGAAAGTCAATCACCAAAGAGGTGGAACAGAGAAAGCACTGGGCTGAACACTTCAAAAGACTTCTAAATCGTCCGCCACCTACAACGCGCCCAACAATACCAACAACGGAAGCAGAACTACCAGTGAACACTGACCCCCCGACGAAATCAGAAGTCCTGAATGCAATCAAGATGCTAAAAGCTGGGAAAACACCAGGACCAGATGGAATCCCAGCAGAAGCTTTGAAAATAGACCCAGAGACAACAGCGGACTTGATGACACCACTGCTGGAGAAGGTGTGGAAAGAGGGCAAAGTACCTGCCGATTGGAAAAAAGACTGCCTATTCAAACTTCCAAAGAAAGGAGACTTAAGTCAATGTAAAAACTGGCGTGGAATTATGCTCCTGTCCATTCCAAGCAAAATACTAAGTCGCATCATCCTGGAGAGAATCAAACACGCCCTAGATGAAAACCTTCGTCCGGAACAGGCCGGATTCAGGAGAAACAAATCATGTATTGATCAAATCGCCACTCTACGGATCATCATTGAACAAAGCTTGGAATGGCAGTCACCTCTCTCACTCAACTTCATCGACTTTGAAAAGGCCTTCGACAGCGTCGATCGAGAGGTCATTTGGCAACTACTTCGCTACTACGGGGTCCCATCGACAATTATACACCTCATCCAACAGTTGTACGACAATGCTGCATTCCAAGTAATCCACAAAGCGAAACTTACGGAATCCTTCGAAGTGAGGACGGGAGTAAGACAAGGCTGCCTACTTTCGCCAATGATTTTCCTGATTGCAACAGATTGGATAATGCGACAGACAACCGCAACCAACGAGGGAACAGGCATAAAATGGACTCACACAAAAGACTTGGAGGATCTGGACTTCGCCGATGATATATGTCTGATTTCTCACAAACTGGAAGATATGCAAGTGAAAAACAACAAGTTGGCAGAAAAAGAATCGAAGATAGGACTTCAGGTGGGCACTGAGAAGACAGAGGTGATGAAGATTCCTGGCCGACAGACAACAATCAGTATAAATAGGAGGAACCTGAAAGAAACAACCTCCTTTACCTACTGACACGAGAAGCATCGTTTCAACTACAAGCGGACGGAACTGACGAGGGTATCAGAGCAAGGATCGGGAAAGTAACGCAAGCTTTCATTACTCTCAAGTCTGTGTGGAGATCAACAGTAATCAGCATGAGAAACAAAATGCAGACCTTCAACTCCAATGTGAGTTCAGTGCTACTATACGGATCAGAGACTTGACCAGCGCGTCGTGAAGGCCACTTCGAACAAACTACAGACCTTCATCAACAGCTGTCTTCTCTCAATACTACTCAAGATCAGATGGTTGGACAGAAAAGACCAGCAACAGGGATCTCTGGGAGCGAACCAACCCAGCAGGAACCAATTATACAACAAATATGCAGGAAGAAATGGAGGTGGATTGGCGGCCATACTCTGAGAAAGCAAACCATCAAGTGACATCACACGCCAGTCCATCGGTCAAGTGGGACCCGAATGGGAAGCGACGAGCTGGTCGTCAGTGCTAGGGTGAAATGGAGGAGGTGATGTAAAGAGGAGATGAAAGCATGTGGCAGATGTGGAGCCAGGTGAAAATTTGGCAGAGAATCGAACGCAATGGAGACACGAGGCTGAAGCCCTGTCTTCCTGCAATAATTTAAATATATGACTATGGGCAATAAATTGTTTGAGATTCATCATCCACTTATGAGGACTGTATCACTGTGTGCTAAGTTGAAAAGGATTTACCTAACTTGGGATTATATTCTACTGGTGTGCTCAGATATTGCTCTTACTTTTATTTATATTTGCTGCACTCATAAGTTATTCAGTTTTCTGTTTGAAGTACCCTGTGCGAATAAATGCCTGGTATTTCGTCCATACAAACAGTATTTTTCAGTCACGTGGATCACAACTTCATTTATCAATAATGAAATACCTATGTAAAGAAGAAATTACATACCACGTGTGCAACAGTATTTTGAGAAAATCAACGTACTTTTCGCTGCAATGAAGGATTCGGTTCACAGCATGAAACACTTTAAGTTTCGTGATTCTAGTCCTCCTAGCTTAACCAAGAAATAATTCTATCAAATCACCTTTATATACTAGAAAATCATTATGCGTCACATCTAACTAATAAACGACACTCAAGACCCTAATTTTAAGCAAGTACGTCACGACAACTGTTCGGGACTCAAAACAATATTTAGAACAGTAATTGATTTTAGGATTTGTTTGAACTAGGTGCTGATGCAGAACACTTACATATCTAAATGGTTTGGAAACTAGCATCATGTATTAATACCAACACGTAGAGCATTAAAATGTTCACATTTAGTATCGTAGATCACCAGTGAATTCATCTATGACACTGATCATCTGTTCAAACAAAAAGGTACATTAAATGATATTACACGGTTACTTCCAAGCAGTTTGTGACCAGATATGTTCTCTAGTGCTACACATACATCATCTGGATTTATTACTGATGAATAGATTTTTTCCGAAAGAGATAAAAGTAATTGCACAGAAGTTGTACTTACAATAGGAAGATATAATAAAAAAATTTCACAGAGAGGAGGAATTTTAGGAACAAACAGAAAACTATTGTCATTTGTACAAGCAATCTCAGATTAAAAATTTATTCTGGTTGTATGTCACAATCCACGGATAACTTAGGAGGACACAGCGCCCGTGTGATTAGCTCTTTTGAAATCATCAAAATAAAAGAAATCAATGGAAGGCATGCAGCAATCATAAAAGCCGTTTGATATGAACCTGTTGTATCATTAATCCGACCTGGAAATAGAAATTTTCACAAAAATCAAAACAAAAAGTGATCTATAAATTTGAATTTAAAATACTTAACAGTCACACTATTTTAGTTGGGTTTAGGTGGTCATTAGTATACCTAGGCAAATTGATAATTACTACTATAAGTTGTCAGGTAACACCTCTAAATTTGGAAATTATAGTTATGCTTGCATGGACATCTGTTCAATGATTGTAAAATATCATGAAGTCTACTGTCAAATAAAATACGGACCATATCCACGAGTTAATTCACTAAAATCGTAGGCGATAGGATCGTAAAAACACTAGAACTCTCTTAAATTAATTTTAAACTCCCGCATAAAAAACAGTTATAAGAACAGATACCGGCGTGAACTATTTTCGATTATTATTTTTTTTTGCCTAAGTGGTCTAGTGGATAACGCTTTGGCGTTTGAAAATATGGGTACTGGGTTCGAGCCTCGGTGGGAACGTCATCACTCACTGAGATATGCAGATACATCCAGCTGACGAGTCCCAAATAGGACGAAATTCGCATCCTGGGTTCCACTGCTAGTCACCATCTACCATTTAAATATTTTCGATTACCAAATCGCATACTACTAACTGATTGATATGAGTAGTTGGATTCTGCTCACATCAGGTTGATGCTTTTGTGCATATTTAATTGATCGTCATTTGTAGTCTAAAGCAGATCACATATTGTTATCTGAATAATTTCTCTTCTTAGATGAAACTCTGGTAAAATTTCATCTCGTACTGTGTAAATTACAAATCAAAAATTAACTAGCAAACTCCTAATTTGTTTACAATTATGATAATTAATGTAAGTGTCATTAATACTCCATCACTGAGTGATATTTGAAACAAACTTCTCGACTACTGCGTTACATTTTGCTTATTAATAAAAACTCTCGTTTCTGTAAAATTTTATGCCAAGAGTTTGTGGAAACTATCACAATTATTTACCTTTCGAACACTGAATCCAAGAATACAATCTTATTGACAGATAATACATATAACTAACTATTTGGATTTGTGGAATTTTTAAACATAAACACATCTATAATTGTATATATTGTTGGATTTACATGTTCAAGTTGCTCCAAGTCAGTGAGTTTATGGTTGAGATATCATTTTAGTTAACTGTGCTGAACTATATTGCATGTTGTTGTATTGTATAGTTGTTGTCGCTTTTTGCCCTTTTTTCTGTGAACTGTTTCCTTTGTTGATGTTGTTCTCATTGTTTGTCCGTTATTTTCTGATTTTGAGGGGAGCAACCCAAAAAGTTGCTTCTCTCTAAACTTTAACTTAATGTAATCATTCCTTTCTCAGGCGTGAGGCTAGCAACCCCACCCTGTAAACAAAATTGCTAAAGAAACTTCAGTACGATGAACCTCTTTGCACCAAAAGAAAAAGTCTCTGTGGGAACATGGAACGTCCGAACTATGTACGAGACTGGGAAAGCTGCCCAGATCGCCAACGAGATGAAAAGATACGGAATACAAGTGCTGGGAATATGTGAAAGCAGATGGAATGGGAGTGGACTCACCAAATTGTCAACAGGTGAGTCAGTGATCTACTCCGGTCACCCAGAAGATAACCACACGCACACCGAGGGCGTGGCTATCATGATGTCACCAACGGCAACGAAAGCCCTGATACAATGGGAGGCGATTTCGTCCAGGATAATGACCGCCAGATTCAACTCCAAAGGAAGGAAAGTGTCAATCATACAATGTTATGCACCCACAAACAACGCAGACCTCGAGAAGAAAGAAGAATTCTACAGGCAACTACAGGCAACAATGGACAATACTCCAGCTGGCGACATGAAAATACTAATGGGAGACATGAACGCCAAACTGGGACCAGACAATACAGGAAGGGAACTCATCATGGGTAGAGAAGCTCTAGGAGAAATGAATGAAAACGGAGAACTCTTCGCCGACTTCTGCGCCTTCAACGAACTGGTGATTGGTGGCAGTGTATACAAGCACAAAGATATCCACAAGGCTACATGGGTGTCACCAGACGGGCAAACCAAAAACCAAATCGACTTCATCTCAATCTCAAGGAAGTGGAGGCGCAGCCTACTGGACACAAAAGCAAGAAGAGGAGCAGACGTTGGCTCAGACCACTATCTCGTACAAGGGACAATCCAAATCAAATTAAAAGCTTTCAGGGAATCAGGAGCTGCAGATAGACCACAAGCCAAGTTCAACACTCAAAAGCTGAAGGACCAGGCTACAAAGGACATCTTCATTGCAAGCATAAAGGACAAAGCCGAGACACAAATCAACACCAGCGAAAAGGTCAGCGTCGAAAAGCACTGGAACAACTTGAAAACGGTGTGGAGCCAAACCTGCATAGAAATTCTAGGCAGAAAAAAGAGACAGGACAAACAGTGGCTCACTACGGACACTTGGAAACTAATAGAAGAGAGAAGGACAGTGAAGCAAAAGATTATCCAGTGCACTGACGAGCAACAAAAACAGGAGCTGAATGCAAGCTACAATACACTGAACAAAAGAGTGAAGAAGAGTGCCAGGGAAGACAAAAGAAAATATTATGAAACCATGGCAAACGAAGCAGAACAAGCTGCAGGCAAAGGAGACCTCGCCACACTCTACCAAACAACTAGGAACCTTTCGGGCAAACGTTCGACACAGATTAAGCCAATAAAGGACGACAATGGAAAGTCAATCACCAAAGAGGTGGAACAGAGAAAGCACTGGGTTGAACACTTCAAAAGACTTCTAAATCGTCCGCCACCTACAACACGTCCAGCAATACCAACAACGGAAGCAGAACTACCAGTGAACACTGACCCCCCGACGAAATCAGAAGTCCTGAATGCAATCAAGATGCTAAAAGCTGGGAAAACACCGGGACCAGATGGAATCCCAGCAGAAGCTTTGAAAATAGACCCAGAGACAACAGCGGACTTGATGACACCACTGCTGGAGAAGGTGTGGAAAGAGGGCAAAGTACCCGAGGATTGGAAAAAAGACTACTTATTCAAACTTCCAAAGAAAGGAGACTTAAGTCAATGTAAAAACTGGCGTGGAATTATGCTTCTGTCCATTCCAAGCAAGATACTAAGTCGCATCATCCTGGAGAGAATCAAACAAGCCCTAGATGAAAAACTTCGTCCGGAACAGGCCGGATTCAGGAGAAACAAATCATGTATTGATCAAATCGCCACTCTACGGATCATCATTGAACAAAGCTTGGAATGGCAGTCACCTCTCTATCTCAACTTCATCGACTTTGAAAAGGCCTTCGACAGCGTCGATCGAGAGGTCATTTGGAAACTACTTCGCTACTACGGGGTCCCATCGACAATTATACACCTCATCCAACAGTTATACGACAATGCTGCATGCCAAGTAATCCACAACGGGAAACTTACGGAAGCCTTCGAAGTGAGGACGGGAGTGAGGCAAGGCTGTCTACTATCACCAATGATCTTCCTGATTGCAATTGATTGGATAATGCGACAGACAACGGCAACCAACGAGGGAACAGGCATAAAATGGACTGACACAAAAGACTTGGAGGATCTGGATTTCGCCGATGATATATGTCTGATTTCCCACAAACTGGAAGATATGCAAGTGAAAAGTAACAAGTTGGCAGAAGAAGCATCAAAGATAGGACTTCACGTGAACATAGATAAAACAGAGGTGATGAAGATTCCTAGCCAACATCAACAGCAACAACAACAACAGATTACAATCAGCATAAATGGGAAGAACCTGAAAGAAACAACCTCCTTCACCTACCTGGGAAGCATCGTCTCAACTACAGGCGGAACTGACGAGGACATCAAAGCCAGAATCGGAAAAGCAAGACAAGCTTTCATTACTCTCAAATCTGTGTGGAGGTCAACAGCACTCAGCATCAAAAATAAGATCCGGATTTTCAACTCCAATGTGAAGTCAGTGCTACTATACGGATCAGAGACTTGGCGAGTCATAAAGAGCATCTCAAACAAACTTCAAACCTTCATTAACAGCTGTCTCCGCTCAATACTCAAGATCAGATGGCCAGAAAAGATCAGCAACAGGGATCTCTGGGAGCGAACCAATCAGGAACCGATTGTGAAACAAATAGGCAGGAAGAAATGGAGATGGATTGGCCATACGCTGAGGAAACCATCAAGTGACATCACTAGACAAGCCCTCGAGTGGAACCCGAAAGGGAGGCGGCGAGTTGGTCGTCCAAGGGTGACTTGGAGGAGGTCATGTGAGGAGGAGATGAAAGCATGTGGACAGACCTGGAGCAGGGTGAAAAAGTTGTCAGAAAACCGAAGGCAATGGAGGTGCGCAGCTGAAGCCCTATGTTCCTCTAGGAACTAAAGGATACAATAATAATAATATCTAATATAAAATTACTTGCATTATATTATTACCAGCTGTAGCATTATCAACAACTAAACTAAAATACCAGCTACGTATTGAGAATTATGCAAAAACAGCTAATACAGAAGTGCATGTTAAATTGACTCACCCCCAATATTTGTTCCACATAAGTTCATAGCACCATTAAAGGCTAAAAACAAGCCAAGCCCAGAAGACCATAATTCAACACCTACAATATCAATTATTAACTGCGGAAATATGACGTATAGTCCGCCATTCGACATCCCAACGAAAAAACAAGCCAACGCCAATAGATGTCCTTCGGGATGAGAAAATAGCGCAAAGTGCTTGGTTGGGCTTCTCATAGATTGCAAAGGTATAACAGCCATACTTAGTGTGCATACACCGTTTAAAAGAAGTACAGTTAGAAAAACTGCCAGGTGAAATCGATACTTTGTTGCTTTACATTTTTCCATCATAATAGTCTTAAAAGAAGTCGGTGAGCAACAGTTATCTTTATTGCTGACATCTTCTTTGCAATTTTCACAGCAAGTACCAATATCACCAAACTGAGATGTTATCAAACCAAAAAACAGTTGCCCTAGTAAAGAAACAGGAAAAATAACTAGATTTCAAAAAAAAAATAGCTAACATTATTATTATAAGGCTAAGAAACTATTATTACAGCTTCAATTGAAATTCAGCTTAGAATAAAAAAATAACTGAAAACAAAACAGCGCAAACTTAACTTAAAAACTACGGTTATCAAAATATATGGAATTATCAGTGGTCGATTTCACGGTACACATCTTAACGACAACTACTGAGGCTTAAGATGCACTAGACACCAATTTTGTCACAGTTTTTTGGCTGTCCGGAAGAGTTTAAGATTGCCATGTTTCGAAGCGAAAATTGGCAACCATGTGCGCCTTCAAAATAAATCAACGGTAATTACAGATTTCCAGGAAACTGAAGAGTAATTTCAGTAAACTGTTTGACTTCTTATTCTCTTACTTCACACCACATGTATGGTTAAAATAAAAGCTTCGTACCCCTACAATACAAACATAATTTGGTTAGATGTGTGGTTCACCGGGCTAGAGCTATCTATTCAAATGAGACACTGAACGAAGAACCCGGTAATATTAGCGATCCACAAAGTAGAAACGGATACCCAACCAAATTTGTGAACAAACACATGAAATCAGTAAGTAAAGAGTCGAAGGTGTCGACTGTTCTCCAAAAATCAGTCTACCAAAGGTTAAAATTCATGGGTGATGTCAATAGTGAGGTCTAATCACAACGTCTGAAATGGGCCATCAAAAGAACGTTCAACGCAGCTAAGCTGTGCTGTGCATTCACTAGCCGACCAATACTTATTATTATTGTTTCATCTAGTTCCCAGAGAAACGGCTTAAGCCTCACGGCTCCATTGCTCACGTTTTCACCTGGCTCCACATCTGCCACATGCTTTCATCTCCTCTTTACATCACCTCCTCCATTTCACCCTAGCACTGACGACCAGCTCGTCGCTTCCCATTCGGGTCCCACTTGACCGATGGACTGGCGTGTGATGTCACTTGATGGTTTGCTTTCTCAGAGTATGGCCGCCAATCCACCTCCATTTCTTCCTGCATATTTGTTGTATAATTGGTTCCTGCTGGGTTGGTTCGCTCCCAGAGATCCCTGTTGCTGGTCTTTTCTGTCCAACCATCTGATCTTGAGTAGTATTGAGAGAAGACAGCTGTTGATGAAGGTCTGTAGTTTGTTCGAAGTGGCCTTCACGACGCGCTGGTCAAGTCTCTGATCCGTATAGTAGCACTGAACTCACATTGGAGTTGAAGGTCTGCATTTTGTTTCTCATGCTGATTACTGTTGATCTCCACACAGACTTGAGAGTAATGAAAGCTTGCGTTACTTTCCCGATCCTTGCTCTGATACCCTCGTCAGTTCCGTCCGCTTGTAGTTGAAACGATGCTTCTCGTGTCAGTAGGTAAAGGAGGTTGTTTCTTTCAGGTTCCTCCTATTTATACTGATTGTTGTCTGTCGGCCAGGAATCTTCATCACCTCTGTCTTCTCAGTGCCCACCTGAAGTCCTATCTTCGATTCTTCTTCTGCCAACTTGTTGTTTTTCACTTGCATATCCTCAGTTTGTGAGAAATCAGACATATATCATCGGCGAAGTCCAGATCCTCCAAGTCTCTTTTTGTGTGAGTCCATTTTATGCCTGTTCCCTCGTAGCCTGCTGTCTGTCACATTATCCAATCTGTTGCAATCAGGAAAATCATTGGCGAAAGTAGGCAGCCAGCTTGTCTTACTCCCGTCCTCACTTCGAAGGATTCCATAAGTTTCGCTTTGTGGATTACTTGGAATGCAGCATTGTCCTACAACTGTTGGATGAGGTGTATAATTGTCGATGGGACCCCGTAGTAGCGAAGTAGCTGCTAAATCACCTCTCGATCGACGCTACACCATCGAAGGCCTTTTCAAAGTAGATGAAGTTGAGTGAGGTGGAGAGGTGACTGCCACTCTAAGCTTTGTTCAATGATGATTCGTAGAGTGGCGATTTGATCTACCCATGACCTGTTCCTCCTGAATCCTCCCTGTTCCGGTCGAAGTTTTTTATCCAGGTTGGCGTGTTTGGTTCTCTCCAGGATGATGGGGCTTAGTATTTTGTTTGAAATAGACAAGAGCATAATTCCGCGCCAGTTTTTACATTGACTTAAGTCTCCTTTCTTTGGCAGTTTGAATAGGCAGTCTTTTGTCCAATCGGCAGGTACCTTGTCCGCTTTCCACACCTTCTCCAGTAGTGGTGTTATGCAGTCAGCTGATGCCTTGGGGTCCATTTTCGATGTTGAACAACAAATTGACTGTAACGAAGCTTTTAAAGTTATTTATCATATATTACCCAGCTTCTCACATGGTCTACGAGTACGACTTTTACATACAGCAGAGCCAATTGGAATTCATCTGAACAAGCGAAAACTGTATGTTCAAAAGAAATTTATGTATCTCCTTTCTTTGCCATAGCCAACTGCATAATATGAAATAAGTTTTTGAAAACATTCTTCCCTACACCTTGTACCTATCTTTTGACTTTGTTAATTTTTACAATTCTAGATAATTCTATTAACTTGTTTTTATTTTACTTAATTCTTCTGAGTCACCTCATTCTTCTAAGTCATCAATATTCTACGAATTACTTGATCATGTAATAACTTGTTGCTAACGCCTAAGAATCAACCTATCTTGGATTCGTAATTAATTTTCACCCCTCTTTTAAAACTTAGATATCTTATTACTAACATCTATTAGTTATTTTGCTTTGATGACCTTTAACTTCTTGACTTCACCTTCCCCTTATACCTAAAATTGATCAACTAAAATAACCACCTGATTGGTAAAACATTTTGATGTAAAAACTACATACTAATGTGGAGCCGATGATGAGGAACTAATTGTAACGGAATATATTTCTTGGCTCAATCTATTCTTTTTTCTCAAGGCGTAAATGGAGTTTGAAAATAAAAGGTGACCCTAGGAACTTACCAAATAGCAAACCGAAACCAATTAAAGATGGCAGCCATGAGATATCATCAATATTTACAAGTCCTATGTGATTACGATAATTTAAAGAGGATAGCGTTGACAAAACATAGTCATAAATAAACGTCCATGGTATGACAACTCCAGCACCAGTTATACCATTTGTTATCACATAAAATAAGAAATTCGAATTTCTCCACAGTTTTGGTGAGAATAATTGTTTAAAATTGGTCTTGGATGCTTGAATAAATTGTGGACATGCGCATGACTGCAGTTTAACTGAAATATTTTTTCTAACTACCGTCTGTCCATTAACGATACCTTGTTCATTGTCCTCAATTTCAGTACTAATTGTGTTTCGTTGACCATAGAGTGGCTGATATCTTTGGAAACGACATAATGATGGAACACACAAACAAAATCGAAATGTAGTCCAAAAGTGTCCAACATTTGTGAAAGCTACAAAAGCAGAATATAAGTAAAATAAATAGTGTGGATAAACTATATTGTTTTGGGTTTAAGTTTCATATTCCGTGACATCAAGGTGCCTCATAAGAAATGCCTTATTCTACATTTCTCACGCATGCACTTATTTTTATGCTTTCATTAACTGCTCCAAGTTGATCTTATTACTTCAACAAATTCTTATTCTTATATTATAAAGAAAGATATTTTTGTTCTTTATCTTTTTTTCACGAACGAGTTACTGCTTACTTCCTGTTATTTGACCATATGGTGAAGTTGCAATCAGTTAGGCTAACCAATCAAAGCTTCATCAATAAGTCGGAGGTCTAATAATGCCTCCAGTTTTAAAAGCACACTTGAGATAACAGAAAAGATTTTTGGCTCAAATGGATGTTTTTTGTTAGGGTTTTGTTCACTCAACTTAGTGGTTTGATTGAGAAGCTTGGGATATCGACGTTAAATTCAGCGTGAAGTGAGTTGTTGGGAATTCTCTGTGAATGAAACAACCATCTCTCTTTCTGATGATGATGACTACCGTTTTTATTTACATTGGTATCAATTGTTTCGTTGACCTGGTATTTGACCGTTTCTCCGTATGACTCGTTCTTTACTGATTGGTAAATCTGGTTTATGTCAACATATCTGTTAAGTGCACATTAGCCAGGATACTAGGCTTATCGGAATTCTCTGACATTTTCAGTATATCCACTGTCCACATTCCTACATTTTCCAAATCAAGGTACTATCCATAGATGTCTACATGCATTGGTATGAAGAATGTGATTCCAATGATTATTATGTATTATTGCTCCCTTGGGTCCCTAGTGGAACATAGGGCCTCAACTGCACGTCTCCATTTTCTTCTGTCTTCTGCTATACTTTTCGCCTGCATCCATGTTAGTCCATGCTGTTTCAACTCCTCTTCACACGATCTCCTCCATGTCACTCTTGCACTGACGTCCCACACGCCGCTTCCCTTTCGGATTCCACTCGAGGGCTTGACGCGCGATGTCACCCAGCGGTTTCCTCAGCGAGTGTCCGATCCATCTCCACTTTCTCCTGCATATTTGTTGGTTGGCGATTGGTTCTTGTTTTGTTTGTTCCCATAGTTTCTTGTTGGTGATTCTTTCCGGCCCGGCTATCTGATCTTCAGTATAGAGCCAGCGAAGACAGTTGTTAATAAAGGTCTGCAACAGGCTGTTGGAAATATTCTTTGTGACCCGCCCGCCAAGTTTCTGATCCGTATAGAAGAACTGACTGACTTGACGTTTGTATTGAAAATCCGACGAATTTTGTTGGTGATGCTGAGTGACGAAGATTTCCAGATTGGTTTCAGGCTGATGAATGTGTTTCTCGCCTTCCCGATTCTCGATTTGACATCCTCGTCCGTTCCGACTCCTGTAGTTGAGACAATGCTCCCTAGATAAGTGAATGAAGTAACCTCTTTCAAATCCCTCCCGTTGATGGTGATTGACGTTGGATGTTGTTGCTGTTGTTGGTTGGTTATTTTCATAACCTCCGTCTTGTCTATGTTTACCTGGAGTCCTGTCTTCGCCGGCTGCTTCTTCGACCAGTTTGTCGGTTTTCGCTTGTAAGTCTTCGATTGTGTGTGACATCAAACATAAATCATCCACGCGCGAAATCCAGGTCTTCTAGGTTCTTCACGTCGTCGGTCCAGGATATTCCTGTCTTCTCGTTTCCCACTGTCTGACGCATAATCCAGTCAGTCCACCACAATTAGGAATATCATTGGTGATAGATAATAAGCACCCTTGTCTGACTCCTGTGTTTACTCCAAACGCCTCGCTGAGTTTTCCGTTGTGGATCACTTGACATGTGCCGTTGTCGTACAGCTGTTGAATAAGGTTGATGAATATTTGGGGTACGCCGTAGTAATTTCCAAATTACTTCACGATCAACGCTGTCGAAGGCCTTCTCAAAGTCTATAAAGTTGAGGTAGAGGTTTGATTGCCATTCCATGCTTTGTTCTGTGATGATGATGCGTAGAGTTGCAATTTGGTCAGTACATGATTTGCCTTTCCTGAATCCAGCTTGTTCTGGTCGGAGTTCTGTCTCCAGTGCGTCCTTTAATCTCTCCAGGATGATGCGACTCAGGATTTTACTTGGCGTCGATAGGAGCATGATTCCTCGCCAGTTCTTGCAGAGTGAGGCCTAAGTCGCCCTTCTTTGGTAGTTTCACGAGGTAACCTTTCCTCCAGTCAGTAGGCACCTTTCCCTCCTTCCAGACCTTTTGCAATAATGGAGTCAGCATGTCTGCTGTAGTCTCTGGGTCTGCTTTCAGTGCTTCAGGGGGTATTCCATCTGGTCCGGCTGCTTTTCCAGCTTTCAGAAGTTTGATTGCGTTCAAGACTTCAGCTCTCGTTGGAGGATTGGTGTCAACTTGCAGTTGTGTGTGCGCTGTTGTTGGTATTTCTGGACGGGTTGCAGGTGATGGTCGGTTCAAGAGTCCTTTGAAGTGATCCGCCCATTGTTTAATCTGTTTTTCTTCCTTGGTAATTGGGTTCCCTTGGCTGTCTTTTATAGGTTTCGCTTGTGTTGATCTCTTCCCGGATAGAGATTTGGTTATCTGATATAGTGTCCTCAGGTCCCTTTTGCCTGCTGCCTTCTCAGCTTCAGTGGCCAGGTTGTCGTAGAATCGTCTTTTGTCCTTCCTAGCACTCTTCTTCACTTCTTTGTCCAATGCTCTGTGTAAGTTGAGCTCATCGTCTCCTTCTCCTGTCCGTCCTTGCATTGAATCATTTTCTCTTTCACCATTCTCCTCTCTTCTATTAATTTCCAAGTGTCCGTTGAGAGCCATTCCTTGTCTTGTCTCTTCTTTCTTCCTAGAACCGTTGAACACGTTTCGTTGAGAATCGCCTTCAGAGACTTCCAATGTTCTTCCACGCATGATTCTTCAGTGATGTCGCGTAGTGTTTCCTGCTTTGCTCTGACAGTTGCAGTGAAGGTGTCTTTTGTGGTTGTGTCCTTCAGTTTTGAGTGTTGAACTTGCATTGTGGCCTATCCCCAGCTATCCTCGAGGCTTTTAGTTTCACCTTGAAAGTCCCTTGTACTAGATAGTGGTCTGAACCCACATCTGCTCCTCTCCTTGACCTTGTGTCCAGTAGGCTCCGTCTCCACTTTCTTGAAATTGAGATGAAGTCTATTTGATTCTTGGTGTTTCCATCTGGTGAAATCCATGTCGTCTTGTGTATATCCTTGTGTTTGAACACACTACCGCCAATCACCAAATCATTGAAGGCGCAGAAGTCTGAGAAGAGTTCACCATTGTCGTTCATTTCGCCGAGGGCCTCACGACCCATGGTGAGTTCTCTTCCTGTGTTGTCTCCTCCCAGCTTCGCATTCATGTCGCCCATCAGGATTTTGATATCGCCATTTGGGACGTTGTCCATTATTGCTTGTAGTTGTCTGTAGAACGCCTCCTTCTTCTCTTGTTCTGAGACGTTTGTAGGCGCAAAGCATTGAATGACTGTAACTTTCCTTCCTTTTGAGTTGAACCTGGCTGTCATTATCCTGGAGGAGATTGGTTCCCACTGCATGAGAGCTTTGGTTGCTGTTGGTGACATCATGATGGCCACTCCCTCGGTGTGCTCGTGGTTGTCCTCTGGGTGGCCGGAATAGATTACTGTCTCTCCAGTAGGTAGTTGGCACCTTCCAGTTCCGTTCCATCTGCTCTCGCAGATTCCCAACACTTCTATTCTGTACCTTCTCATTTCAGCGGCTATCTGGGCAGCCTTTCCAGTTTCGTACATTGTACGAACATTCCAGGTACCCATCCTTACTTTTGCTTTCATCGAAAGAAGGCACATCGGCTGACTGGCTTCCCGAAGGCTTTCACCAGCCTGCGTCATTTCACTTCCCCGATTCCAGCGAAAAGTAAGGCTATTGCTTATGTTTTTAGAATTTTTAATATATTTATTCGTTGAAGTTTCTGTAGCGATTTGGTTGTTTTACAGGGGTGGAGTTGCTAGCACCACGCCCCAACCCTCCCTCTTTACCCGGGCTTGGGACCGGCGAGAAAACTAGTAAGCTAGTAGCCTAGCAAGGTAGTATCTGGCGAGGTTGATTTCTATGATATATAATTTATATTATTGTATTTTGGTTAATATAATTTTTTTTGCATAACTGATGCAATTTATGTTGTAGATGGTACTGACCTTGCTACTTTTCTCTGTTGGGCTTTTTGCTCTATACACTATTGAATGAACTGGGCGTTTCATTTTTGGGTGTGATATCTATTCCGAATGATTTCAGTATCTTAGTAAAAGGAAAACAACATTTTTGAAGACAACCAATCACAGTTACAGTCATCAGGAAAGACTTCTATTTAATTCACTCAGAATTGCAAAAAGACTGCTTCCAAGTGAAACCAATGCTGAATATTTTATCTAGGAGGATAACAAAAGTTTTTTAATCAAGCTATCTAGCTGAGTAAACATAACCACATCAGTAATGCACATTTTTGTGACACTTCTCCTTCAAGAAATAATGGACTTAATCAAAAAACCTTAACAGTTGTGATGAACAAGGGATTCACTCGTTAAATTATTAGGAGGAAAATGCAACAAATAAGAATAATCTGTAGATGTGTTATTGCCAGGGTCTCTCAAGTGTTTCATTGAGTCATTTCGTTATTTGCACTCCATTCTAACAGAAATATTGCATTTTTACCGAGACATTTTACTCCATGCTGTCATCAAGTGTTTTATCATTGGGGAAAACAAGGCTGATGCAATAAATTTTTGACCAGAGGGGAACGAAAACTATGTTAGTATAAAATTCAGTTTTAGTTCTCCATGGAAGAGAATTCTGTAAATCATCGTTTTCCCGTTTCCCGCTTTATTCTACTTTCCTTCAAGCAATAAATATTGCTACTTTCAACCTTAATGCTGCACACTAAATTGTTATAAAGTGATTTGATGTCCTGACGTCATTCACCTACGAAGTGTCTGAAGTAAAATGAAATTTCAGTCTGCTGGGAAATTCAACTTAAAAATTAAGGCAGTTTTCAAGTATTGGTTTTGTAGGGATTTTGTTGTTGTTGGATTGGTTGGAGAATTTCATCATGAGCTGACATCAGTTAGAGAACCATTGGAAAACCAGCACGGAATACTGGACAACTGTTTCGTCGTAGTTTGGGACTCTTCAGCAGTTCACATCCACTGCCAGGGTTCGGACCCAGGACCTTCTGGTTACAAGACCAGTGGGCTCGTAGACCATTAAGTCACTGGGACCCAATCCAATGGAACACGAATCCTAACCTCTGCCAATTCACGATATAATGAGACCAATTCTCAGTGTTTTCTTTGATGAGTTACTGCCTTACCTGCTGCACCCTATTTGTCAGGTCTTCCAGTGGTTCGCCAACTGATGTTATCTCATGATGAAATCCTCCAAACAATCAAACAAAATCCCTACAAAATCAATACGTGATGCTCACTAGTGACTTTCCCTATTCATGCATTTAACCTGGGGTTCTAATGGGAAGCTATGACCACTAGGGTACAACAGATTGAAGGTGAGGCAGTAACTCATCGAAGAAAACACTGCGAAGTGGTCTCACTATATCGTGAATTGGCAGAAGTTAGGATTCGTCGTCCATTGGATTGGGTCCCAGTGGCTTAATGGTCTACGAGCTCGCTGTAACCAGAAGGTGCTGGGTTCGAACCCAAGTGGGTGCGTATTGGCAATTTGTTAACAGTTATAGAGAATGTCTAGTTCGACAATGAAAACTTCGTAATCTCACATTAGTGTCAACGACAGTATTGAATCTCAGACTACCCTTTGCCTTCAATTAACCATTAAAATCTGTATCCAAGTTTCATAGGATCAATGAATATTTCCAACTTAAATATTCAAGTACACATGTGAAAAAAAATGAAACACGTCAAGCACAAAATACATACCTTGAGTAGAATTTTCATTTGGATGACATCTAGTTTCATCTTCTGACTTTGTAATAGAAATAAATATTCATAAAATGTCAGAGTGCAAAATTATATCATAAAAGTTTTGGTATTTTCACAGTTATTTAATAAATACGAAAATGAAGGCCATACATAACGTGAAATTTGACCTAGATATCCCCATGAACCTCCAGTAGTGACAATGTCTGTCGAAATTTATCAGAGATGTCAAGTTTATTTCACCAGCATATTTGATTCAGAGTGAAGTATCACACAAGTAGAAAAGATATATTCAAAATTACCTAGTTGGCAAAGATGCAGTCACTGCAGAAACTAGTTAAAAGAGTTAAAGCTTTGGAAATACTTCTCAATGTATTCATTATTCAAGAAAATACAAAATTAACTTTTATGAAAATAGCATTAAGCCTTTATTTAGTTAAAGAGACAAATTCGGTCTAGCTTAAGCACCAAGAAACACAAATTCATGCGTATAGAATAACGGGAAGCGCTCTGCATAATTATTATCAAGCTCCCTATAGAACAGCCAACTCTCGGCAGTGTTGACTTTTCCAGGGAAACTATTTCACCTTGTTTCATGTACCATTTTTAAGCTTTTGTACGTTACATTTCCCAAAGATTAATTTGTTGTTCAAGTGTTGGGTTGTAAAGATTTGATTGGTCACAGGATTTCATCATGAGCTGACATTAGTTTGATTTTGATTTACAGTTTGATTCCACATCGTATTTTTGGTACAAGTATGGAGTTTTCAGCATGGATATCGGTAGCCCAAATTTCGCTGGCCGACCATAGATATCAGGTGTGCGTCGGCAGGGGATCGAACCTCGGACCATGTGTATGGTCGGCGAGAGTCCTAACCACTGTGCTACCGACGCATTGGAAAACCTGGGAGTACTGGACAGATGTTTCGTCCTAGTTTTGGACTCTTTATCAGTGCGCACCCCCCGCCCGGGAATCGAACCTAGGACCTGCTGGTTACAAGGCGAGCTCGTATACCATAGCGCAACCCCTAATTTGTTGTGTTAAATTAATTTTATTGGTATGGCTATGTTTCAAAAGTTTTGCACTAAATGTTAGATACAGATATGTAAGCGTTACACTCACCAAGACAGTTTACGTTTATAAATATTTACATGTACCATCCACCAGTCATGTACTTATAGAAAATTAATTCATCATACCCAAGCATATGCATGGGTTCATTTGACGGGTTTTCAAAGGTTTAATGGGGAAGTCAAAGTTCTAATTAAGAAATAACAGAGGTAAGTGTTACCAAAAGATCTGTTTTAATTTATGTGGAGAGTAAGTGAAATAAAAGATTACAACTGAAGGAAGAAGACATTTCAAAATGGAAGTGTAAAGAAAAATAAGCATACAGGTTAGTGCAGAAATTTTCTACTCCAATCTCTGTAGCGTATCATAATGGTACAGAAAGAATAAAGGAACCGAAACAGAACGACTAATAGTCTGTCTTGCCACTTTAGCAAATTAAACTTAATACTGTAACAGTAGGAAAAGAAAGACTTGGTAAATCCATGTATATCTGGAAATTGGTATCGCTATATAGCCAGAGTATGTTCACCTTATTTTGAAAGCACCATTCACACAGATCTTCGTGTTGTTCTACTTCTGCACTTGATATTGCGTTTCTTTGTGTTCCTTTCACGTCTCCCATGTATCCCCGCAACTCTGTATTATCTTCCCTATCTGACATCAAATGCATCTCCCTGCTATTTGATGTTTTTATGCCGATGAAGGTTCCTTTATATACTACTGATAGATCTTGCCAGTAGCACTCGCCACAATACAAAAAGATGAATAAGGCAATAATTCAGAAATATTTTTAAAATGAAAATGTTTTCTGCAACCTTTCCCATTTAACAATTAGTCCACATGCCTATTTTCAAGGTTCAGTGCTTTTGATGAATTCATTCCTAGGTGATTATCAAAGTGATTGTTATATATGGTGAGATCAATGAGCTGAGTGATATGACATTTCTGAAACGTGTCGTCTTGGTATCAGATAGTAACAGCCTAACAGCTTGGAGTATTGTTTGGACTAAACTTTATGCTTGCCAAAATACATTAACAAGGTGCACATGAATTCATGAAAATAACCAACCAACAACAACAACAACAGCAACATCCAGTGCCAATCACCATCAAAGGGAGGGATTTAAAAGAGGTTACTCCATTCCCTTATCTAGGGAGCATTGTCTCAACTACAGGCAGTCGGAACGGACACGGATGTCAAATCAAGAATCAGGAAGGCAAAAAACACATTCACCAACCTGAAACCAATCTGGAAATCTTCATCACTCAGCATCAACAACAAAATTCGCTCGGATTTTCAATACAAATGTCAAGTCAGTCAGTTCTTCTATACGGATCAGAAACTTGACAGTCTGTTGCAGACCTTTTTCAACAACTGTTTTCGCTGGCTCTATAATGAAGATCAGATAGCCGGGCCGGAAAGAATCACCAACAAGAAACTATGGGGAGGAACAAACAAAACAAGAACCAATCGCCAACCAACAAATATGCAGGAGAAAGTGGAGATGGATTGGACACTCGCTGAGGTGGCCGGTTGGTGACATCGCGCGTCAGGCCATTGCTCGAGTGGAACCAGGCCGAAAGGGAAGCGGCGAGTGGGATGTCAGTGCAAGGGTGACATGGAGGAGATCGTGTGAAGAGGAGTTGAAAGAGTATGGACTAACATGGATGCAGGTGAAAAGTACAGTAGAAGACAGAAGCAAATGGAGACGTGCAGTTGAAGCCCTATGTTCCACTAGGAACCCAAGGGAACAATAATAATAATATACATGAATTCTTCTGGCCAATCCCAAATATAGATAATTAAGTTTCCCAAAGTTGTCAAACAACTTATTGTGTCTTTCTTAATAAATACAGCAACGGCAGTCCAAATTCTCTATAAGTTGTGTTGCACCATGTAGAATAGAACTCTTTTGTATGAATTACAATATCCGAAATAAGTGAGTACTTCTCACCATTCTGTCCAATACAACTGATTTATTGTTCTGCAATGAAAACATAGTCGACAATAAACACTATATTTCAAGGTTGCCAAGATTCATCATCAAACTGCTAATGCAACTTCGATGAACCTGATCACTCCAGAGAGACGTGAACCCGATTAAATATTTTCATTTTATTTTAACTGAACAATACATTAATGACAAAATAATCTGTGTACCTAGAAGCCAAATTTTAGCATCATGAGACTTTTAAGATAATCTATATTTTCTCATGCTAAAACATTCCGTATTATTATTATTATTCTATACATACCATTAGGAATGGAAATATGTCGGAATTTTTAAATCGTCATACTGCTGACAAATATATATATATACATCAGTGACAATCCTTCTACCTCATAAGGCACGTGGTTAAATTTTGAATTTATCAAAACCGGTTAACTTTTCACAGAAAAATCATTTTTCAGTCTGTTTATTTCATTAAGTTAGAATTGAATGACATTGATAATAACATTGTAAAGTCTAATTACAACATTCAGTAATTGCGTGAGTGCTTTGATTTCTTTAGTTTGTCAACCAACCAATCACAAAATTCCTTTCTTTTTGTACACTATTGCAAACTACTTGATTATTCAACTAGCTGTTCAGATATAGACAGCTAGACACAACTGAATAAGGATGTGAATACTGTTGTTGAAATATATGTGCTACGAAATAAATTAAACTGAAAATATATACATTTAAGCAATACGAATGCATTATTGTCTTTGAGAAAACAAGCTCAACAGAGAAACACAAATGAGACAACAAAAAGTCTGATAGTTTTCTTGTTTTACGCTCTATCTATAGAATTACTATCTATCTGTAGAACTACTATTATTATCGTCTTTAATGTTTTCCTCTTATCGTTTATTTTTAAAAGAGGCTAAATGCAACGAGTAAGTGGGAATAATTTATACAAAGAAGGAAGGGGGACTTTTTTCTTCCAACAATAGTCTGTTTCTATTTAACAAGACTAAGTAATTTAACAGTTCTTTATTTGACAACTTATAATCATCTGGAATACTCTTACGAAACTTTCTATACATCTCGCTTCACCTTTCAACTTTTCCGCCTGTTTAATGTAAAACAGAAGTTTAGGAGACTTACCTACCGATGAATTCGTAAAGAGAAAGTGACGGTGTTATTATTTCAGCAAGTGACAGTCAATCGTTCCGTTTACTAGCCTACTTGCCAGGACAAAATCCGTTCTCAGCTACATTAGAGTCAGTAAGCCGTTACTGCTATGAAAAATGGTTTATATTTGGTAGCATAAATAACTGAACACGAAAGATATTTCCTGTTCCTTGTCAAATTGCATCTTGACTACTGAAATGGAATGCAAATACTACGAATGGGTGGATTACTAATCTATGTACAAATGATAGCTACAATTTGAAAGCAGTAAATACAACATATGCACAAAGGCCTGCTTCAAACAGCAATATCCAAAATAGTAACTTACATCTTCCGAAAAACATATTTTTTGCTCATCCGGTGGTCTTGTATTGATTTCTGCATCTAAATGATGGGAACATGATGCTGTTACGAGAATATTCAAAAGGACGGCTGACTCGATCAATAGTACTTCTCGCCAGTTCCAAATGCTTAAAAGCCAAGCCAGAAGATAATTTGATGCAAATGCGCCAACACCGGAACCACACATAGTAATACCTATGGCTATACCAAAGCTAAACATTTTAAAAAAGATCACAAGATATCCTCAGTAAAAATATACAATCGCAAAGTAAAGTAATTTCAGAAATAAATGATAGATAAAAGCTATTTGTGTAACTTCAAGCTGAATATAATGGAAAGAAAAAATTAAGTAAACAGGCGCATTTCCTGTGTATGCACGTAAAAATCTAAAACTGTCTTATCTTTACTAAATAGTGATATCAAATTCGATTTCAATACTTAGGGTTTCGTCACAAACCAGTATCAGTTAGAGAGATTACTGGGCAGCTGTTGCGTCCTATTTTCGGACTCTTCGTCAGTGCGCACCTACAACTCCACCAAGGATAAATCTCGACACCTTAAGGTTATGAAACCAAGCTCGTTAATCATTCAGTCACTTAGACCGTAATTCATTGACACGTAAATCCTAACCTTGTCAATTGATGAGGAGTCTCAAAATAGGACGAAACAGCTGTCCAGTGCTAGTCTTCAATGATCCCTTCAATTAAAATTAAATCGATTCGAATTTTCATCAAACCACCTTAACAGTTTCATGATTGACTAGCAATTCTACTAAAAAGGTAGCAAATGTAACTAGTGTATACTGTTAGATGGTTGGAAGCAATCGTCAGGAAGTCTTGGACCTAGGTTTCGTGCTGGTTGGCTCTCACCAGTCAGTAAGGCGTATCAGCAACCTTGAAGGAACTTGTGTCCCTTCTGAGATTCGAACCCGCGTCACCCAGTACTGCTACCCACAACAGTCTTACAGGAGGTCAATCGCGAGCCCGAATAGCTCAGTGGTAACGTCTCTGACTGCAGCACTGCGTGATGCAAGTTCGGATCTCAGAAGGGATACGAGTTCCTTCAGATATGCCTTACTGACTGATGAGAGCCAACCAGCACGAAACCTAGGTCCAAGACTTCCTGACGATTGCCTCCAACCATCTAATACCAACAATTCACAGTGCACCGTAATGGCGAGCTACCTAGAATGGTGGCCACATTGCCAACCTGACTGATAGAATTCAGTCTGCACCAAAGAAAGGACTAGACACATCCCACTAGTTACTAGTGTCCAATCAAAATAGTGTATACTGTGTTGAACCCGAATTATTGTCATTGAGCATTACGATTTGTATGTGCATTCTTCATATCTGTACAATACATTTTTGTTTATAATGAGCACACATTCTTGGTTATTAAGTTTTAGTAGAAATTCAAACAGTTAGACTGAGTGCATCTGCCGGTGCAGCGAAACATTAATTAGAGTTTCACTGGTCTCAGCTGTGACACACAAAAATCAGACTGGTGAGGTAAAGAAGATATCTATAGCATTAAGTCCATAATTGGGCAGTACGTGACAGTACGAGAAATAAACGCTTGACAATTTTAAAATGGTACCTACAACTACCACTACAAATATTGGGATCAACATGCATCTATCTCACCTAACGTTTTTAGGCCTTCAATTCCATAATCTTATAAATTACAAAGAAGAAATTTTAAGTTTCCAATTATGAGTTCCAATAATTATTCAAGCATGACTTCAGGTACATCGACGACTGAATCACATCATTTACGATTTGATACAATAATATTTACTAAAAGAATATAATAAAAAAGATTTAAGAAACTGTTAAATGCGTGTAAAACAAGGAACTGAGGCTCTATGCAGTTGCACATGAAAATTGCACGCAAACATTATTCACTTCGTTTTATTTGGCCAACTATCTTAGGCTTAACAGTAATCACGAAACTTATCCAATCCAGAACAGTGGGACCAACCAACTTGGAAGGTCACTGCTGTCTTAATTGTTGCCCTATTGTGAATGCTTTAAGTAATCATTGTTGGCAAAATCTTCGGATGTTCACAATATCATTGTTCGCCTAGGTATCAACCAGTTTCACTTGAATAATCTAGTGATTAAAATACCGTATGTTCTTACTTTTACAACAGGTTCACTCTTGTTAATTCACAGTTGGAACAACCAACTAGCTGTAACAATAACTAATTTCCAGTAGTACGTTAACGTTCTTGGAATATGACTGGCTTCAGGGCAGATTTCTCGATGAAACCACTTTAAAGTTAGTCAACCTCACAAAAGTCAAACAGTTTATTAACAATCTACTGTTCAATAGTGATGACTAAACTCAGATGAAGTTCAAGTGAGAAGTAGTGACCCCTGAAGTTCATTGAATGTGGTATTAAGATAATTATGCATCGATAAAAATGAATGAAAGTTGAGTTGTTTTGTTGAGCTATCCAACTCCATCATATTGTTTGAGTGCTAAAGTGAATTCTTTACAACTTGACAGTTCTAGAGTCAACCCTCAAGCAGTTGTAGATGCGCACTTGATATGTATCCACATATATATATTTATGTGTGTGTGTGCATGTTGGTCTCTCTTTCTGTTTGCTCGGTTAGTCTGTGACCACTTCACTTGTATGGACTTGTCTCCTTTAATAATGTGTATTCTCCTTATATTATATTATATATAATATGAGTGTTTGTTGACAGTCCGTTGCTTGGTGACATATATCCATATATGTTTGTTGGCATGTCTGCTATATTCGCTATGTATAATTGGATCGACACTCCATTATAATTAGCCATTCATGTTAAGACTGTCTAATGATTTTTCCCACGCTTGTCTGAATTATTTATATATATTCGCATTCACAATTTGTGTGAACTACTTTACTTTACAACTACTTTACTTACTTACCACTTTGGTGTGAGACCATTTATTTTCGTCTCCTTGTGTTTGGACAATAGAAGTATCATCGCAAACCTAGTGGTCTTCTGATTTCCGCCTTCTCGCGTCAGGACTATTAGTTTCTCGACCAGTCCATAACAATAATTTAGCGACGAGTACATAACAATTTGGCGACGGGGAAAACTAGTACATAACAATTTGGCGACGGGGAAAACTACTATTAACCACACAGCAGCAACAACATAACAATTTACTATGGATCCTATTAAATTGGAATTATTGTTTGAACGACAAATGAAATTAATGGAAATGTTCGTCAACCAACAGACTGGTCCAGCTCCACCTTCAAGCAATCCCAATCATACCATGCTACCATCTGTCGACGGAATTGTGAACAGCATTTCACAGTTCAATTATGACCCAGAGGCTAATGTCACTTTTGACACATGGTATCAACGTTATGAGGATTTATTCACTGTTGATCTCGCCTCACAAGACGATGCCTGGAAGGTGCGAGTTTTGCTACGTAAATTGGGTCCGGCAGAATATGAACGGTACTGCAACCTAATTTTACCACAGAAACCACGTGACAATTGTTTCGATGATACAATAAAGTTGCTGCGTGAACATTTCGGAGACCACTCCTCATTATTCAGTATACGTTATCGTTGCCTCAAGCTGGCAATGAATGAAAATGATGATTTTCTTACTCACGTTGGCACAGTCAACCGAGAATGTGAGAGATTTCGACTCAGGTCCTTAACAGATGATCAGTTCAAAGCCTTGATTCTCATATGCAGTCTCCAATCTCCTCGTTTCACAGATATCCGAACTCGACTGCTCAATCAGCTAGAACAAAATCCCAAGTTAACATTACATGACATAGCTGATGAATATCAACGGCTGATTAATCTGCAGAAAGACACACACTGGTCGAATCAACACCTCCGAGAAGCTCTGATATTCGTGCATTACGCAAGAGCAAAAATCTCTCATCAGCTACTCCTGACCCACCTACTTCTCTAATGTTCCGCGGAAATCTACACATACTCGTCCAACTTCACAAAATACGGCAAAGAAGACCCCTCCATCACCATGCTGGCATTGTGGCGCGTGGCACTTTGTAAAGTCTTGTCCATACAAAAATCATCGTTGCAGCAAGTGCAAATCATCGGTCACAAAAATGGTTTTTGTCAGCCACGCAACCCAGATATCAAAATCCAGCAAAAGCTCAACAAAATGTTGGTCCTAAATCCCCAAAAAGTCATTGAGTCTACGCGCAACCCGTCAAGTCACAACACCAGCTATGCGGAAATATATTGACCTTCAGATGAATGGTCATGATACTCGTCTGCAGCTAGATACTGCCTCTGATATTACTGTTATATCAGAGAAACTTTGGAATTATATTGGCAGACCACCTATCACCAATACTTCCCAGTCTCTTCTCAGCGCCTGTGGTGGGCGGCTCAAACTAATTGGTGAACTCAAATGTTCTGTTTCCTTCCGCAATACCAAATTCACAGGAATTTGTTACGTCACGAAGAATGATTTAAATGTTTTGGGACTTGATTGGTTCGATCGTTTGCATCTGGCTGATGTCCCACTAAATTCTCTACGCAATACAGTGAAGAAGCATAAAATGCTAGACAATTCCGGACGGAGCCGAAGCCGCAAACCCAACAATCAGACGAAACGACAGGCGTCAACAACAAGCCCAAAGGTCCCAGATAAACCCCCAGGTAAACATCCTACTAATCATCATCTTCTCAAAAGGGGAGGTGATATGTATCCACATATATATATTTATGTGTGTGTGTGCATGTTGGTCTCTCTTTCTGTTTGCTCGGTTAGTCTGTGACCACTTCACTTGTATGGACTTGTCTCCTTTAATAATGTGTATTCTCCTTATATTATATTATATATAATATGAGTGTTTGTTGACAGTCCGTTGCTTGGTGACATATATCCATATATGTTTGTTGGCATGTCTGCTATATTCGCTATGTATAATTGGATCGACACTCCATTATAATTAGCCATTCATGTTAAGACTGTCTAATGATTTTTCCCACGCTTGTCTGAATTATTTATATATATTCGCATTCACAATTTGTGTGAACTACTTTACTTTACAACTACTTTACTTACTTACCACTTTGGTGTGAGACCATTTATTTTCGTCTCCTTGTGTTTGGACAATAGAAGTATCATCGCAAACCTAGTGGTCTTCTGATTTCCGCCTTCTCGCGTCAGGACTATTAGTTTCTCGACCAGTCCATAACAATAATTTAGCGACGAGTACATAACAGCACTGCTGAAGAATATTTCCCTAACTGAAGCCAGTTTACGAGAAAAAAAAAATCTATTCTGAAATCCTATTTATTTGGTCATAACAACAAGGTGAGTTAAAATAAAATCACTACACAAATATAGCTGAACACTGGAAGGCTTTCACTAAAATTTCACTATTTCGATAAGGTTATAAAAATCAATAGATTTCTAGACAGACAGACATATAACCTTACAGAAAAGTGCAACATATCAACCTGCTTCTCTCCAAAACACTAAATAAACAAAAAGGCATGCAAAGAAATGAGAAGACAACGAACAAACAGATGTAAAATCATGAGAGCTTTGGAATTTTGAGAGTGAGGAATTACTTGCATCACTATGAGAAACCTTAAGACATGCCAAAGATATAAATTCACTACCAACTTTTACAGTTATAGAAACAATATAATGTCATCAGAATTTTGCGGCATAACTAAATCAATCTGTATAAGTCGGATAAAATCTACCAAAATTACTTCTAATCAAAATTACTATAAAATTCGCCTATCACTGTAAGCCTGCAGTAAACTCAGTAGAATTTATTTTTAAAAGAAGCAAAGCTACAAACATTAGTAAATATTTAGTGACTGATTTGTGTGCATCATCCAGTCGTAGACAGTATTGGTCAGTTTCTGATATTTTTGTAATTCAGATCATGACCAGAGTAATTCAGTCTCAGACCCTGAAGAAAACTGTAGTTCCACCTGGAATGCATGTTCACTTTGCTATTAGGTAGTGTAACGAGTAGAAAGCCTAGTTTACGATAGGTAGCTTACGGAACAACTCCTATCATTTAATATCAGAAAGAAAAATATCTGGAGTGCTCAGTAGTCTCATTTCAATTAACTTAAAAATCAAATTACTAACTGGACTAAGAGATTTCAACTAGCTGATGATACTAGATGATTAGAAGAAACAGTCGGCAGGAAGCCTTGGACCTAGGTTTCGTGCAAGTTGGCCCTCGTCAGCAAGGCGTATCTGCAATCTTGAAGGAACTCATTTCCCTTCTGAGATTCGAACCCGCGTCACCCTGAGCTGCAGTCAGAGACGTTACCACTGAGCTATTTGGGCTCGCGATTGACCTCCTGTAGGACTGTAGTGGATACTTTGATTGGACACTAGTAACTAGTGTGGTGTATCTATTACTTTCTTTGGTGAGGACTGAATTCTATCAGTCAGGTTTGCAATGTGGTCACCATTCTAGGTAACTGGCCATCACGGTGTGCATTGATCTGACGATATTAGATGGTTGAAGGCAATCGGCAGGAAGCTTTGGACGTAGGTTTCGTGCTCGTTGGCACTCGTCACCAAGGCGTATCTGCAAACTTGAAGGAACTCATGTACTATCACTTAAAAATAATTGGCTACAATTATTACCTTCAGTCAGCTAATGAATTTAGAGTTTAACCACAATTTTTTTTCTTCATTAGAATAATGCACGCATATTATCAAGGTATTTTAAAATGTAAGGATGGAAAATGAATCCATTAGCTGCTTTATTGGCTAAAAAATCTCTCCATTCACGCATTGCTATCAACCTAGCAAACTTAATCAACACTAAATTTATAAACATGTATTGAAAAGTTGAACATGGGTTTAAGTAGTTGTTTTGACCTCAAGATTGTAAAATTGTATTATACATGCAGCAATCACTGCGACATGTATTTTTGAAAATTTTCGAAATTATTGATCAACACCAGAAACAGAAACTACTCAAATGAGAATGTCAATGTTTGCAGAAAAAACGTGATTCTAGACTAAATCTATCAGCAAGTTGAATTTATAAACAATGTCTTCCAATCGGATGAAAATTTATTAAGTATTGGCTAGCACAATTTAAGTTTGCAGTCAATATAAACGTACTAGTTTGTAAATTAAACAGCAGTAAGCAGACTAGTAATAAATGAGGCATTTCCCAACTTGATTTCAGTTGCTGTGACAGGAAGTGTCATGTTACTTGTTTCCAAGTATTTGTATTATTGTATAATGCTCTTTAAGGAGGTAATTCTCTTTTCTTTACAAGAATATCAGTAAATACTATAACCTGTGTACCTTTCCGTATAAACTGCGTTTTGTATGTAGAATCTAACATGATGGGCAGTGAATTAAAAGTAAAACTACTTAACTGGAATTCTTAAACGAAAAAACTGAAAACATTGAAACAACTGAGTATACTTACACAGTTAAGTCTATTAATGAACATTACTTTATAAAATTCAATCTTTAAAACTAAGCACACACCACTTAATTTGTCTGCGAAATCCATGAGAAATGATGAACGATGTATAACTTATGTTGGGTTATGACTTATAATTTTTACCCCACGCATTCCACACGCTAAACGATTCGTTTTATTTCAGTTTTGATTACATAATGACTTCCATTAGAAAACAATTGAAAAACTGGGGATTACCGGACGGCTGTTTTGACCCCTGGTGGGATTGTGAGCGCGTACTGCTCAGCCGTCCCAAACTGGGGCGAAATAGCTGTCCAGTACCCCCTGCTTATCAGTGGTTCTTTAAATTAAGTCAGTTTGTGATCAAAACATACCCTTGAAAATTTCGTATGTCGCACAGCTTACATTCAACCACACCAAAACAAAAGTATTCACTTCATATCATTTTCAAAATGTTGGACTGCTTGTTGGCTTTCATTCTCCGTTTCTGTCCTTCTCACAATGGCTCTTCCAACTCCTATATCTTCTTAAAGTTTTTTACAATATATGCGTACGTCTGTGGAGTGTGATAACTCTTCTCTTGCAGTTTAGAATTTCACGTTCATCTGTTTGTTTGTCTACCTTCCATTCTATCGACCAGTTTCTATCTTCAGTGACTTATTATTATTCCCTTAGATTCCTAGTGGAAAGTAGTGTTTCGGCAGCATTTCACCATTTCACTCTGTTCTCTGCAGTCCCTTTTAGCTAATGCACAACTACCTATAAGATTTTATCTCTTCCTGATACCATGATCTTCTCCAAATCATCCTTAAAAACCCTTCTAGTCGTTTCCCATTCGGGTTTGACCTAAAGGCCTGAAGCGTAATGTCACTTAACAATCTTCTCAGCATATATCCAATCCATTTCCTTCACCACGACAAATAGGACACTACTTAAGGGATTACCCCTCTCCTATCTGAATAACAGGGTGTTGGATGCTACTGTTCTGTCCTCCTGCTAATATCAGCTGAGTGTAATAAACTGAAGAGATAAATGCAAAATTTGTATTCAGTTAAATACTATCGCACATATCCCACCAGTGGTTGTGGGGAAACATATAACTCACAAATTAAATAGCTATTCACTTGATAATAATCAAAGGTGTTATCTAGGATGGGCTTTGTTCTGCGCGAACATATCAAATGAACATGCATACACTGGGATCAATAATGGCTTTTTATCACTAGACTTGAATACAGTGAAAGTCAAGATATTTTTTACATGCAGCTTCATTTACACTAGATTAAGGAAGCAAACAATTATTCATTGAAGTATATATAATCAGTTGAGACTTGACCAACTTAACAGAATACAACTGACAAGTATCCGCACTTCTCACAGGTCAAACATAAGGTTTGACTTTAAGCATTTAAACAGAAACTAGTATTCCTTTAAAAAACCTTACAACAATTAGTCTCTTTAATAAATTTAGATATCGTTATTAAAAGACAGAATTTAGCTGAGAAGTGTGAAACATCCGACTACACATCTAATTGTCATTTTCGAATTCAAATGGAAATGAAAAGTTAAGTAAAATAAACAAAATGACAGCAGATGTAATGGGTGATAATTAAAGGTGAAATGAAAATTTAGGTCACAACAGGATTTGGATCAACGGTCTTTGTACTACCAGTCTGCCACTCTCTCAGCTGAGCTACGACACCCAACTGCCGAAAAGGTCATCATATGACTGAAATCATCAGGGATAATACCCATCTGTCATGTAAATGAATGGTGCCTTACTGTCTGTTTATCATCATTCTTCAATTACGACTTGTTGTACCAATAACACTACGCCAACTCAAGATCATCTCAGACAGTCTTACTACTGAAATGATAGGAGATTCAGGAATAGGCAGGATGACAATTAGCGGTACTTTCGGAAATATAATTTGATAAGGATCATCGAGGTAGACAAAAAATATCAATAAATTGTTTTCGCACACGCGAAGGAGAGCTTAGCTTTTTAAGTAGCTAGCGCCTTTACATATTTTAATGTGTGACCCTGTCTATTTATTCTATATAATCTTGAAAACGGTTTTGACATCTGTTTTATGATTGGTATCAAAACTATGCTTTACTATAAACAAAATTGATAGTCTATCGTCTGCAATTACTGAGGTTCTGAAATCTGAGATCATCTGTCAAGCCACTTGCAAATATGTTCTTCTAACCCCACGTGCATAGCACGACTACTGCCCTAGTTATTTTTGTTCACATACATACACATGTAAAATGGTATACATTATAGGAAAGTAAATAGATTTCAACTTACAATGAACTCTTTTCAAACTGAGCTGTAACCGACATTAATGCAGACAAATATGTCAATTGGAGTCCAATACTGGTCATTATACCCAGAGTGAGGTATAAAGTATGAAAGTTGTTCACAAATGATGATACTAAGATAATGAATGACGTTAAATCCTGTGCATACAAATGCTTAACTTACTACAACATCCAGCACACATGAGAACAGCACCCCATGCAGAACCTGATGAAAATCCATATGTATCCAATAATGGGCATAGGAAAGGTGCAAAAAATTGTGGCACTGCAAATATCATACCTGGTAGAATAGCTGTCTCAGCACTACTGAGCTGGAAGGTACTCATCAACTCTGAGTATAATACACCCATAGAGTAAGTATATCCATCAGCTAACATATATGAGATGAATCCACCGAAAATTATTAAGAATTTTTGAAATTTGTTCATGTTTCCTTTTGGGGCGGAGTATAATAAATATTCCACTTCAATACAGTCAAACTTCGATTGTAAGCAGCGTGTTCACCTTTACTGATAACCTCAGCTACTAGAGCATTTTTTCTTTTTCTTTTCAACAATCGAAAGTACTACAGAAAATGAATATAAAAAAGCCAGTTATGGAAGAGAATAACAAAGATCATCAACAAAACTGCACAGGTAAAAACTTACCCAGTGCCCATAAAGAGAAATACACTTTTGAACGGATTCAACAATATGTTTGTGGTGAAACATAACTTAAGTGTTTGTATTTATTACGTTAGGTAAATAGTGCAAAGTGTTGCCGAATCAGCTGCAATGTGTTATCAAGCCCCAATTAGTTATAATAAGAATCACATTTCAGTAGGCAGAAGAACTCAGAATGAAATACTTCTTAACAGCTTTAGATTTTGTAAGTGTTCCCTATGGTTTGATAACAAATTTTCATTACATCAACAGATATATATTCCTTAAGTGACTCATATCCCAGGAAAAACAGCTACTCAGAGGTGTAAGAATAGGTCTGACATCTGTTGACGAAAAATTTGAAGAATAACCAGATAGGTATACAATAATTTCTAATAAGCCCAAGAAAGATATCGTTTCAGCAGCTTGGTTCTCTGTAGTTGTCTGATCGTGATTTTTTTACATTCCCAGTCTACGAAACAACACAGTTACAAGTACTAGTTGACTGAGCGTCTTGGCAAAGATGACATTATATGAAGACGATAACTGTTGACTATATGAAAAAAGATTGGTTTGGTGAAAGATTCATTAATAAAGGATATTCAACTTGTTTATCCAAATTTTCAATAACTTCCTAAATATGCTGGATAAATACACTATTCTATGTAAAAGTAAATATGCATATGCGAAAATGAGTGGAGTCTACTTTAATTGGTTTTCACAATAAGACTGATTTGTCCATGAAATTATATTACCCCTCAATGCACACTTCTCTGTTATAAACTGACACTCGTGTTGATATTAGAAAAAAAGCACATGGCTGCTTTTTAAAGCAGTGATTGACTGACCCACTTAACTAGCCAAATTTCTAAACAAAAATTAATAGATTCAGATTGTTACGCTTAGATAAATGACATAAAATTGGAGAGAAAAGATGCGGTGAAACGGCAGTGATAGAAACGTATGGAAGAGAGAATAATTAGGCGAAGACTAACACGACGTTACAGAATCTGAATGATAACAAGAGATGAATAAACCTACAACATTATGGAAAATTTCAGGCAGTTCCAACAACAATCTACGACTATCTATTCTTAACGTCGCAGAGACTCAATACAAGCAGTCTCCATCTACCTTCATGGTTCAAACCAACAGAAAAAGTGCCCGTGAGCTTCTACCATGCTTTTGCAACCTAATATTATTCACACTAACATTATTGTTTGGGATACATGAGCACCAGTAGCACATGTGCTAGCCATCTCAATCAGCGGAGCTTTACTACCTCATTAGCTGACTTTTCCTCTATACCTAACCTCGCTGCGTCTAACTATATTTATATAAATAACAAGATACTGAACAAAACATACTATCAAAGCTGCCAGTCTGCACAAGTCTTCCAACTTTAAGACTATGTATCATAGCTATAAGGTAGGACAGTACGAAATGATGCAAAGTGCACGTCTCCTTTGATGGATAACTGGACCTTTACGCAAGTTACCAAGCGCCAAAAGAATGTTTTGTATCTTTGTTGAGCTTTTGCCAGCAATCCGTCCATTAGGGCAGATACAACTTCCAAAATAATGAAGTGATCAACACCTTCAACTGCTTCACTATATACTTTAAACCTAAGAGGTATATGCAAACCCGTCCTGAGGTACAGTCTAATCAATAGGGACAAATTTCACGCTAAAACTTAAGCAGATCATGGTATTCGAAAGACCGAATGTTTACTTAAATGAAATGAATTGTCTGCATGTTCTACATCAACAATACATTCTTCCAACAACAAATGGATCTCTAAAACATCAAAGCTGATCAGAATCATACCACAGGATGTCACTGCTTCAAACTAAAAATCTTTACAAGCTGTAACACTGATGCATAAGTTGGAGTGCATATAATAATATAATTTGTCAGCATTGTCTTTATAAACAAATGGTGCTACAGTACTGTTGGTTGGCGGAGTCAAAAGCCACCGTTATGCCGAGAAGTATGACAAGTATCGGATGTCGATAAACATCGATGACTTCCAGAAACTGCAGAGTAGCGAAAATATGATTATTATACCTTTGTTCGGACAAGAAGCTTCTCTCATACTCTGTAGTTTGTTTCTATTGAGCTCCGCTTACTCTTCATATGGCTAGGGTCAGTAGGACCTTCAAAACGACATATGTTAACCTATCTCTTCCCCTGCGTATATCACAGGAAGATTAATTTTCCTTCGTACAAACCAAAATGATCAGTGGTGAACATCAGCCTGGTAGAATGAGGATTTCATCAACCTTATAAGTAATTTGTCAATACCATTCTTAATTGCCTTTGGAATCAGAGCATTTCTTGGCCATTTAAATCTGCCATGGTTTATAGAAAGCTTATAAAAACCTTATACAGAATATGAAGAATAGAGCCTGTACTCTGATCAATCTAAGTAAGAATGATAGGAGGATTCAGACCATTTGAAGCTCTCTTTGGTTTCTTACCCAAAATTCTAGCCATCTTTCATAAAATGTTAGAGAAATGTCATCTATCCCGCATATCATTTACCTTACCACAGGGTTTTACTACCTGTATCTCTAATGAGACTGATAATTAATATAATATTACATAATATTGAAATCATCTCCACTTTCTTTGCTTCCTTCGCCATACACTACTTGTCGTGTCTGTGAAAACGTTCAGTCTGCAAGTCACCGGTGAGTAACGGCAGTTTCTGGAAGTGCACCCAAGTATCACGATTCTCCCTCCTCCTACCCTCTCATTCAGCCTGACACCAAAGGACGACTATCCAACCGGACAGTTAGTTTATAACTAATACTATCCTATCATTAGGATGGACATGAGAAAAAATCATAGGATCTCCTTAGCTCATAGGAGCAGTCTTGCAGAATTACCATTTTGGCCAGCTAAAGATAAGTGAGTAATAAAACATGTAATTGTAGCTCAGAAACAAAACATATATCTAGAGCCGGCGATGTTCGATGCTGAGTTGGTTAGACCTGTTTCCAGCTGTAGCATACGGTTCAGAAGTTGAAAATTTCAGTATGATGTAAGAAGGATTAACTCGAAATACTTCAGACGAGGTTTTTCAGTCTTTAGTTGCTGGTACTGTCGTTTAGTTTAGAAAACGTAGAGGAGCTGCCTTAGAAATAATATTTACTGCGAGTGTGAAACAAGAAGATGAAGATAAATAATGGTGACCTGCAGCCACCTAGTATATCCTGTTTTTTAATGTGAAATAAATACCACTCAACCGTGCCAAGATGTCGGCTCTACAGCGATAAATGATAAACTGAATCAACCATCAATACATGGAAGGTTTGACAGAAATTTAATTCACAAAATGCGTGTTAACTATCTGCAAACTACTTGAAACGCTACTTACAACGTCGAGTTATTCCTTTAGACACAGTAAAATTTCCCTTAAAAAGTGATCGTGGCGATTTTTTCAACTATTAAACTAAATGTTACCACCTATATCTTAATTTCAATACCACAGTAAAGCGTCCTTTGGTTGTCGTGCTAACTCATTTCACTTCATCGAGTCCAAGAATTTGCAAGAGAACCCACTCCCTTCAGATGAGTAAAGCATCCTTCTCTTTGACTGTGTTTAACTGCCACTCAGAAATATCTGGGAGATTTTATAGGTACAGTTATATTCAAACACAAACCACACGAATGTTCGGCGGTTAACGAAGAACTGTAAAATCAGTGCTAGAGAGATAATGCTTCCAAAATGTTCCTGTGTGGTGCGCAAAATGTCAAAAAGATGGATAAATTCTAAAATCAAGAGCGTTCGAAGACGTGAATCGCTCATTACTTTTGTTTAGTTACTCGATGTTACAATACTAGGGTGTGTTTAAAAGTAGATTAACACACTTAAAAAGATAATATCATACATAAAATTCCCTAAACTTTTCCGAATCATAACTCTCCATTGCTGTTCAGTACAATGCTGATTAAGCGCATTTTACAGGTAGACAGTGCAATACTCACAGTATTTATTTAACTAAATTTTGGAAAACAGACACAGAAATTTAGCTACATTCAAGCTTAAGAATGATTTACAATTCAAAGAACGCTAAGATAACAATGACTGCCTCTGACAGGAATAAAAACCACGATACCTTCTACCGATACTCAAAGATATATAGTGAGTATCATCGACCTTCATAAAAGCTTTTGATGCATTTTAAGAAAAATCATAGGTTCAAATTTAGACATGTTAGGAGGGGCCATAAGGCTTGAGGCCTATGCTCAAAACTTCCTTCCTTTCCTGACACTTAAATTACCTGATAGGCGGCTGCAGACACCCCTAATTCTGGGAGTCCAGTCTAGGGATATTTGACTGCGTGTGAGAACCAGTATTCAACATGAAAATTGTCCTTTTAGTCTCCCTGCTATATCCTCTGAGGCGTTACGGCTCTAATATTGAAACTAATGGCAGATATTTTGCACTCAGTATCAGTGCCGATGACAGAGAGTCTAGAACTTCAACATCCAATATCATTGTTACGAGCTAGTGTAAACCAATTTGACTTATATGTACTCTCTTCTTGGTTGTGAGGTAAATATTCCTACATTCCAGTCAGCTTCCGCGTGGTTCGTCCCACCACTTGACTGTCGTAGCCGCGACTGACTGGTGGTGGGACTAATTATATGCAGTTCAAAGTATGCGGTGTGCTTAGACTGCGTCGCTGTAGTGAATGCAGTTCATCCTTCCATCATTTAGTCACCCGGAGTCGACAATGAAGGAGAGGAGATTATAAAAATAATAACAGATATATGTGTAGGCTAATAAGACTAAACGAAACAATGTGGTGATTGACAGTTTCTACTCTGTATTGTTTAAATACTTACTGTTGCTTGTTAATATATTTCTTATATGAACTGAATATAATTCCGCTAAATACAAATTCCTAAATTCATCCCTCTCTGTGTTTTGATTGAATTCTTGTAATTCGTTAATTGCGAAAAACCAATACTACTATTACAAATAAATACAACATTTCGGCGTCGCTATGGAACTAAATAACCTTGGAAAGTTTCCTATAAAGGGTTCACCGCGGGAAATCGCTGATTATCTTGAATGCTTCAACGCATGGTACATGTCAAAGAATCTTCGGGATGACAAAATTTCAGCTCATTTTATTACTTCTACTGGGCTAGATGTGTATAGCCTAGTGAAGACTCTGTCATTTCCTGATAAACCAAATTCTCTGTCATATAAAAAGCTCCGTGAACTTCTAATACATCACTTCCATATAACTACTTTTGAAACACGAGAGAGAGCTCAGTTCAACAGACTTGTTCGTGCTCCCAATCAGAAGATTAGAGACTTTATTCTTCAGCTTCCGATACAAGCTTCAAAGTGCAACTTTGGAGATCAGCTCCATATTCAATTACGTGATCGTCTAATTGCTGGAATCAATATTCCTAAGTTAGAGAAAGAGTTAGTTCAGATTCGTTCCTGCACCTTTCAAACTGCTAAGGATCTATGTATTACATATGAAGATGTCAACAGTGAATATCAAGCTCCCACTACGTCAGTATCTGATGTCGTGCTGTCCAAAGTCGATAATACAAGTGTTCATAGAAAGAAATCCAAACTGTCGTCCACATGTAATGGAATGCAGCTAGAGAGCAAAACATTAAACCATATTTTTCCTGTGGAAAGAGTCATTTACGAAGCACTTGCTGTTTTCGGGGTGCTAAGTGTCATAAATGGGGTAAAGTTGGACACATCAAGTCTGTTTTCAGAAGTTCAAATACTTGTGTTACTCAGAATCCTCATGATTCTTCCAATTTAGCTGGTAAAATGCAGTCAATTTCTCTTTCAACTTTTCCCAATACTCAATCTCATCTAATGAGGACCTTCACTACAAGTTCAGGAAAGTCCCATTGTTTTATAATTGATACTGGGAGTACTGAATCTACAATTTCTAAGAAAGATTTACTATCGATTTGTAAGAATGTCCAGATAGACCCTACTAGTAGTTCAATTACGGGCATAACTGGTCATAAACTACCTCTTATCGGTGCTACTAACATTTCTTTGAAGTCAGACAGTGGTAATTTTGTGAATATCCCCTTTCTTGTTAGCGAATATGGCTAATCTTTGTTGGGATTAAAAGCCCTAAAATTGTTAAATGTCGAAATTTCACTTTGTTCTGAGTTGTTTGATGAATCTTTGTTCAGAGAATTACTTGTCCAATGTTCAAAGAGTGTAGGTGGCATGAAGATTCAGCCCATCCATCTTGAAATAGAGGATGATCCTATCTTCCTGAAGCGCCGATTAATTCCATATGGTATAAGTATAAGTTCTTGCCTTTTCGTGTAAAGGTTTCACCTGCAATATTTCAAAATGTGAGAATAATGTTCTTGTTAATCCATCTAAATGTCATTTCAACTTGTCGTCTGTATCATGCTTGGGATACACAGTAGACTCCGAAGGTTTCAGACCTGATGCTAGTCGTTCGGCACCTCTAATTCAAGCACCGTCACCTAATAATATGTCGTCGTTGAGATCATGGATTGGCACTCTTCAGTTTTACTCCAGATTCATTCCCAATTTCACTCAACGGTTATCTCCGCTTTCTGAGACTGTCTCCAGTAAACAACTTGAATGGGAACAACAAAATGGGAATATCTTGCGCAAAACTTTAAAGTTTCTTAATAAACAAGCTTTCCTTTTCTATCAAAAGATAAGTCTGTTCTCACTACAGATGCTTCTCCTATGGGTGTAGCTGCAGTACTTGAGCAAAATGGACAACCTGTTATTTGTATTTGAAGACATTTAAGTAAAAGTGAACAAGGGTACTCACAAACCCAGAAAGAAGCTCTAGCAGTTGTATGGGCAATAAGACGCTTGCACAAGTATCTCTTTGGTACTGAGTTTCACATAGTTACTGATCATCAAGCTTTGAAATTCATTTACAATCCAGAAAAATCTTTGAGTAAATCATCTGCTGCTATGGTTCAAAGATGGAGTTTAGAACTAAGTGCATATGATTACACTATTGAGCACAGATTGGCAAAGGATATACCTCATGCAGACCTCTTATCTCGCTATTCATTATTTGAAAATGCTGCTAATGATACTGATTGTTTGTTAGTCCATCCGTTACCTGTGGATCGAGTTTGACTTATAAATGATACTCGGAAATATTACGGATGCGTTATAAATGCAACAAAAAGAGGTTGGAATATTCAGCGTAAGCGAAGATTTCCAGACTTTTGTAAGCGAAGAGATGAGGTTTCAATCCATTCTGAAGGATTTCTATGTCTGAATGACAGAATTATTACTCCTCCAACATTATTATCTGCGATTTCGGATGACCTGCATTCTGCTCATCCGCCAGCTGATAAGATGAAATCATTAGCACGCCTAATATGCTGGTGGCCGGAAATTGATGCCGATATTAACAAAAGATCAAAGAGCTGTTCTAGCAGTTTGCATAAAATGTCCTATGGGGAGTCATCATGGACACCGTGGCCTGCATCTTGTAAGGTCTGGCAGCGTGTTCATGCAGATTACTGTGGTCCACTCTTAAATTCATATTATGCTTTAATTATTGTGGATTCTTATTCTAGATGGCCAGAAGTTACTATTACAGATAGTCCCAATGCCAAATTCACTCACAGAGCGTTGAGAAAGATTTTTAGTCGAGAAGGAATTCGAGATGTCTTAGTTATCGACAGTGGTACTCATTTTACGGAGAAGAACTTCAATGATTGGTTTAAACATATAGGTTATCGTCATTTGTACACAGCACCACGTCATCCTCAGTCAAACGGGTTGGCAGAAAATTTTGTACGAACATTAAAGAGTGCTATAGCATCAATGAGTCCTAAGAATTTTGATGAGCTAGAGAGATGTGTAGATAACTTCTTATCTCAGTGCGGAGCATACAAGTACTCATGAAAGTCCTGCTAAACTATTCAAATCTCGAATTCTCAGAAAGCATCTTATGTCCACGAGTTCCGATGTACATTATTACAGAGGGAATGACTATAGACCTCCTGTCAGAATAATACTACAAAAAATGGGAACCCGAATGGTGAAGATATTAGACATCGAAGATTATTCAGTCCATAGCAGACACCTGGATCAAGTGAGAATAAATGAAGTAGGTCGTTCCAATTATAATCTTAATGATTCCGCTACTAATCCTGATTTTGTAGATAATTCAGAAATAAGCGCAGATGATACTGATGAAAATAATATCACAGAATCAGTTAGAAGGTCGCAGCTACTTGCAAGCAAACCGAGACATCATTATAAATACGCAAGGAGATATTCGACGTGTGGCGGATGTGGTGATTGACAATTTGTCTCTGTATTGTTGTAATTCGTTAATTGCGAAAAACCAATACTACTATTACAAATAATTACAACACACAGCTAAAGAATTTTCAAGACAGATAATTAATCAGCTATGCTGTTTTATATTTATATATGTCAATATATGTGAACATTGAACGATTGTTTTTGAAACTGGTAGCCATTTTCGGGCAACTCGAAAGCGCGAATGGTTCGATCGTGTACAAGTTCGACGAGGAAGACCAAAACAAATAATAACTTTTACTGTTCTCCGTTTTAATTGCCGAACAATATCATTTCCTTCTCACAATATCGGAGCTTTGGAGTTGAAATCGAAGAAAGTACATAGTATTTATCGTCGCGGAGCGTCATCGTAACAATAGGAACTTAGGGATATGTTCCTTCACAATATATGTACAAGTATATAAACATCAGTAACAATAGTGTAATAGACGCTTAGTTGGAGTAGTCAGAAGAGTATTAAAACAGATAAGGTCAAGAGGTAAATCAATGACTTCACATGCTTGCCCATTAATACTGCGGGTCATTTTAAGACGAAGCAATATTTATCCACCGTTCATCGTCCGTATTATATTGTCAAACCTTCGCCCAAATCTGTCCGCGGACAATGCAGCAGCCACATCCGGAGGTATTAGTTCCAAAAAGAACCAACTTGCAGTCAAAATGAATGGGAGTGCACTTGAGTCTTCGCCCTCTCATGAGCCATCCTTCGTGGGTTGCCAGGAGGAAGCCCATGCTTACTTAATAGCAGAATACCATTATTTGGGTAATTCCAGCCATTTGTAATCTCATGGCAGTAATTAGGTCTCTCCCAAGCTGACGGTAGCTAAG